TCAGCACGCGCCACCCAAGAATGGTTACAAAATGAGGTTCCTCCCTTCATTTCCAACGCACAATGGCCACCAAAATCTCCGGATACCAATCCATTGGACTATTGTGTCTGGAGTATTAAATTTATAGAATACCAAAGTGTCGGTCACCTCAAGCAACCGCTACGCCGGGAATGGGCCATAATTTTAAAATTTAAAAAAAAAGGAAAAATTTGTTGCAGTTTTTGTTTTGTCTCACCCTGTATATCATATTTCAAGGTTTCAGCTCTATCCCTTCACCCAATACCAAATATAGAACCATTTCGTAACTTTCTTACAATCATAGTGCAAAATTTCCAAAACCACCTCTTCATCACAAACCTACCACCAATACAAATTTTAGACTTCAAGTACTATCTGTTCACCCATTTACAAATTGTACTATTTACTATTTAGTACTTTTCGTGCACTTGTAGTACACATTCCTAAAACCACCTCTTCATCACAACTCTACCAACAACATAGACCCCAATACAAATTTCAGCTTAACCAAACTAAAAAACAAAAAACTTTGCTGTGAAAAAGATCTGCCAATAGAACTTGAGTCGAATCTGGAGAGTTTCCCTTGTAAGCCATCATCCGCCTGATGAGCCGCTTAACCAACGGCTAAACGCGTCGCATAGTGATGAGTGTGTGATAGTGTCTATCTGGCTTTCCTTTTCACTGCAAATTTCAGATCATTAAGCTCGTCTCGAAAGAGAAAACAAACACATAAATCATAAAACATATGATCTTCGCCTTAACAAGGCAAAACTCAAACTATTTCCAGTTTACAACTATTTAGTATAGTTCGCACTGTAGTTACACATTTCCACCTTTTTAGATCAAATTTACTTTCTAACCTTGATTCTCATACCAAATTTCCAAAATTTCAGAATTCTAGCTCATTCCGCTCAAAATATTCAAATTTTATACCCTTTCCTTGTCTCCTCGGTGTAAATTTTCAGTCAGTCAGTTACTTTACTACTTATTTTATACCCTCCACCATAGTATATTTTGTGACACCTCGAAATATAAATTTCAGGTCCCATAAAGTACATCGATGTATAGTAGTAAAGTATATCGATGTAGTATATCGAAGATATATAGATGTGTTTCATGTCTGCGGAATTTTTGGTCATGAAAACGGGCTATATAGATCTAGTTTTTGGTATAGCCCCCATATAACTGTAGCTCCTTATATTCGGTATTTTAATGATAATTGCCACATTGTTGACCGGAAATGTTTAAAATTTGTCTGTCAGTCCGCCTGTAGCAATCACTCTAGCCTCTGAACAAAATAAAGTAGGTTGAGAAAATTTTACTCTGATGTGTGTTAGGTCTGCAGGACATTTGGTAAGAAAAATGGGCTATATAGGACCAATTTTTGGTATAGCCCCCAAAATAACTGTGCCTCCATATATTCGGTATTTTGATGATTATTGCCACATTGTTAACCGGAAATGTTTCAAATTTGTAATTTGAGCTTCCTAATGGATAGAACATCCTTTGCCAGAAAATGATTCACACAGGACCACGTCTTCGTATACCCCCAAAATAACGGTACCTCCCTATGTTCAGTGTTTTGATGACTTTAGCGACATTATTCAACAGAATTGTTAAAATATTTCATATTTCAAGTTCCTAATAGTTACTACTGTCCATTACAGAAAATTGCATATGCAGGTCCTGGTCTTCGTATAGCCCTTATAAAACGGTACCTCCTATATTCGGTACTTTAATTATTTTAGCGAAATTTTTCACCAGAGCTGTGTCAAATTTTGTATTTGGAGTTTTCACAGTTTATGAGGAATCTACAAGAAACTAAAAGTTTTTACTTCGATAACCGATTCTCAATTTATTAAATTAAAAAACTAGTAGATTTTTGCAAGTTCTGGAACAGAGCAAGTATATGGAGGTTGAGGTCTTCGTATAGCCCCTATATAACAGTACTCCCCTATATTGGGTATTTTGATGATTTTAGAGACATTATTCATCAGAATTTTTTAAATTTCGTATTTCATATTTTATGTTCCTAAAAGATACCACAGTCTATGACAGAAAATTGCATATGCAGGTTCATGTCTTCGTGTTCGGTATTTTTTATGATTTTAGCAACATTTTTTCAAGGGATTTGTTTTCTTGTAAATTCTTCGAAATTGTGGAGGATATTCGAAGTTCTCCTGAACTTATTGCTTTTTCACTTATGTAAAAAAAAAATATGTATCACCTTGAAATATTGATCCTTATTGGTTTTCCTACCTTACCGAGCTGAGTCAATCAAGCGATGTCTGTCTATGTTAGTTTGTAATCATCCTACATGACGCAACTATTTTTATGGGTTAAAAACAAAAGAATAATATCCGAGATATCGCGTATATAGCAAAATATTTACAATTCCATATGTCAATGAAGGGGAGTTAGGTAGACCGCTTATAACTCAAGAATGTCTAGACGGATTTTGACAATTCTCACAAATTCAGAATGGCTTTTTGGCAGAAAAGAGTAAAATCTTAGAATATCGTGTAAAGAATACCAACAAGTAAAAAAACATTAAGTTCGGCCGGGCCAAACTTTTAATACCCTCCACCCTAGGGTAAAAGAACATTAGAAGAAATGTGGCAAAAAACATTAAAATGCCGAATATCGGGAGGTACCGTTATATAGGGACTATACCAGAACGTGGACCTATACATGCAATGTTTTGCCACACGCTCAGGGACCCGTTGTGACCTACAAATACCAATTTTCAGACAAATCCGTGGAAAAATGTGGCATAAATCATCAAAATACCGAATATCGGTAGGTACCGTTATATGGGGGCTATACCAAAACGTGGACCTATACATGCAATGTTTTGCCACACACTCAGGGACCCGTCATGACCTACAAATACCAATTTTCAGATAAATCCGTGAAAAAATGTGGCATAAATCATCAAAATACCGAATATCGGTAGGTACCATTATATGGGGGCTATACCAAAACGTGGACCTATACATGCAATGTTTTGCCACACACTCAGGGACCCGTCATGACCTACAAATACCAATTTTCAGATAAATCCGTGAAAAAATGTGGCATAAATCATCAAAATACCGAATATCGGGAGGTACCGTTATATGGGGACTATACCAGAACGTGGACCGATATACCTCATTTTCAATACCAACCATCCTAGGGACAATACACACACTTGTGCCAAATTTCAAAGGTCTACGTCAAATAATGTGGGCTCTATCGTGATTTCAACAGACAGACGGACAGACAGACAGACAGACAGACGGACAGACAGACAGACATACAGACAGACAGACGGACAACGCTAAATCGTCTTAGAATTTTATGCTGATTATGAATATATATACTTTATGGGGTCTACGACGAATATTTAGAGGTGTTACAAACGGAATGACAAAGTTAATATACCCTCCTACCCATGGTGGAGGGTATAATAAAAAGAGAACATTATTTGTTGTTTTCTTATCGCATGAGATTTTTTCTTAACAATATTGAATTGTACAGTTTGTAATACTTTTCCCCCTTACAACACTATGAGTTGTGGGTGTTATATTCAGGTCGGAATTTTAGTCCGATTTTCACCACAATACGGAATCGGCCGAAAATATATGTAGAAGCTATAGGCAAATCTGAACCGATTTCAATATAATTTCCAAAATAGGAGATACATAGAGTGTTTGATGTATCAATTACATGAATTCGGCCGAAAATATATATGGAAGCTTAGATACAGCTTTGGAAAATTCATTTTTGTACCGAATTCCGTCTCACATTTCAAATTTGAATATTGTATCCATAACAAATCAATAGACATGTCTATACAAAAACTAAATTTTTTGGAGATACCATGGATTCGGATGATATAGCATCATCCAGTTCCAAGTGGAATTTCAAACATTTATGTAGCCTATGTTGCTGTAGTATATGTGGAACTTTTCATGAAAATCTGTTAAGCAGTTTTGAGTCTATAAATTACAAACAGACTTTCGAACGTACAAATATTTTCCTCCTTAATAGATATAGAAGAAAATGGATCAAAAAGCCAAAAATTGTCTTTATTTTGCAACTAAAAACCAAAAGACATTATTAGACAAAATTAACGTAATCACAAATACATGAAAAACACACCTCTGACCTTTACGTTGATGCCAATTTTGTTGATGAATATAGCCAAATATTGAAGATACCGGTAATAATATACAGGAATCCAACATTTCAAATATTATTTTGAATACCAGACATACGGCGCAAAAATAGGATAAATGCTACGAAGATTTGCACGACCTCGTGGTTTCGGTCAAAAGCCTAGGTAAAACTTGTTCAGGATTATGTGAGAAACAATTGAAGTATTCAGTTTGTTTTGGAATTTTGCAATGTTTGTTTTGGAATCGTTTGTTTTTGGAAAATACTGGCTCAGATATATGATGATTATTTGAAAAGAGGAGCGTGCAATTAGGTTCAACATTTGCTTTCGTCTGTAGTAGATATGGGAATGTTTCTTAATTGAATCATCATTATAGTTGAAAGGGTTTCCGATCTGCAGAACTTTACCTTAAATTGTAGTGTTTGTAGGGTGTCTAATGGCCGGTCCCGCCTGTTTATAGACTTTTTTTTCTAATGAGATGTGTCAAATCTTCAAATTTAACTCTTGTTTACTTGTCATTGCTTTAATTCATACCTTACATTAGGCTGTCTTACACGAGGCCGGACTTGAGGCTTCCAACAAGATCTTTAATAACCCTTAAATAAATATAAGATGAGGTCTTACAGATATTGAATATTTTATTGGCCGAAATAGTTGTCTGAATTGTAATTGACATTAAAACAATAAGTTTTTTAGTATACTTACCGTGCCGTATGCTTACCAAATATTTGCAGCTTACTTTATTACAAAGTAAAATTTTAAAATTGTTTTGTTTTTATCACATCTATATAAACACTTTATTGAACAGATATCTGATACTTTTCATATATATAGTATTTGTATTTTATATGTTTTTGCTTGTTTGTTTCTTTTGTATACAATACAATAAAAAATCTAAAAATTTTACAAAATAAATGTCTCAATAAAATCATGTCATGTTGGTAGTTTGTTTTTTTCTTCTTCTTCATCTTTTTTGGTATGTGTTTGTAATATTTTTTTTTTTTTGGTTTGTTGTCCATGATAAAATTAAATGGCATCTAAAAAATATACATACGTATATTCATATACAATTACATATAAATACATACATTTAATAGTTATATAATTATTCCTGTTTTCTTTTTTTCGGTTTTTTTCTCTTTGAGTGTGTTGTTAGAGTATATTTGGTTTCAATGATATTTGTTCGAGATAAGTCTGTATGGTATAATGTGAATACACTAATTATTACTAAATATATGGATTATTTGTTGCAACAATAATAAATAGTCTAACCTTTTGACTATCATCTGGATGGAGAGAGATTACAAATAGAATATGAAACAAAACATCAAATTAACAAAGTTTTTCACTTTATTATTCTAAACAAAAAAACTTATTTATTTATGTTTCTTTTTTTTCATTTATCATGTATCTCTTTAAAGCTTTGTGTTTTTTTTAATTTTTTGTAGTTGTTGTTAATATCTAGCAATTAAATTTGAAATTTGTTATGGTCTAATAATAAGGGTCTTTGGCTAGAAATCTTTTTCTTGTTGACTTAAAATGGGTATTTAAAAAATATACGAGTTTTTTACTTGTTATATGTGCGTACAAACAAATATTACAAATATTGACTGGGGATTCAAAAAAAAAAAAAAAAACGAAAATTCGTAAAAAAACGATGACATAAAAAGCACAGTTTTCACATGAATTACACCCGAAAGCAAAAGCTCATTCAATACTTGGGAATTGTTTACATACAATTATAAGGGGATCATAAACTATAGGAAGATTTTTTACATTTAGCATGATTTTGGTTTATGGACTTGTAACAGCCCAGAATCTAAATTGTTGAGTGGTATTTGTAATAAATAATGAATTGTAACCAATAGTTCCTCATAACGAATTTGAAAAGCAGTTTATATTATTATAATTATATTACCGAGCTCGAATATTAACTAAATGAATGAAATGATCAACCGCACCCAGAAAAATTTTCCATTTCTCAATTAATGAGTTTCCCATCGACTTTTTAAACATCTAAACCGCTTACAAATCACTTTGCTAGCCCATTGGTTTTGCAAGGCATGTAACCCAAAATATGGTAGCTAAAAGTCACCAAATAAGTGAAAAAAAAGCTTGTTCTACTTGTATACCCTCAGCCAAATGGCTATAGAAGGGCATTATCGGTCTACTCCTTCTGGTTACTCCTAACAAAATGTAAAAATTTAAAAAGAAATATTCGAATCAACCGATTTTTTTATCCTCCACTATAGTATGGAGGGTATATTAAGTTTGTCATTCCATTTGTAACACCTCGAAATATACATGTTAGACCCCACAGAGTATATATATTCTTGATCAGCATAAGATTCTATATAGATTTAGCGACATCCGTCCGTTTACTCAAATATATATGACTGCAGGATTTTTGGTATTGAAAAAGGAGGTAATGGTACCTCCCAATTTTCGCTATTTTGGTAATTTAAGAGACATTATTTACAGGAAATGTTTCATTATTCAACGATTTTTTTAATATTTTGCATTTGAATATTGTAATGACTTTTACATTCGATATTTTTAAGATTTTAACAGAATTTTTAACGGATTCCATTTTTTTTTTTTTTTTGAAAATTGACAAATTCATTCCAATCAAATCCTAATATTTTTTTCTTTGCTAAGTTAGGTGCGAAAATGGACAATATCGGCCCTCTCAATCAAGTATGTCCCCAACAAAGGTTCTAAATTTTGAATAATTATAAATCCTTTAAAATGTTAAATAAGAGTCCGATTATTTTCAAATTTCGCACATCTCAAAATTTTACCAACACAAGAAGAACAGGCCACCCACCTGGTACATCCCCCACAACGGGTCAATTTTTTGAATAATTATATCTCTCATAAAATGCGAATTAAGAATCAAATTCTCTTCAAATTTCACACATTATTGATTACACTAGATTTGGTGGGAAGATGAGTGATATCGGCCCATTTCCCACAAAGGGTCACAATTTTCAATACTTATACCTCCCACAACTTGCGAAACAAGTCAGCGATTCTTTTCAAACTTAATGCATGCAAATATTTCTCCCAACCAGAGATCTAATGTAAACGAAGTAGTCGATATAGTCCAAATCTGGCAGATTTTAATATTTATATCAAACTTTTGTCAGATACAAAGTGGATAATAGAGCGTCTATATGTGCAAAATATATTGAAATAATCGAACATTGGCTGAGGGTATACATCCGTCGGTTACTGATATTTTTAATTTGTTAGAATCCTTTTTTCCAATTTTTTGTTGTCCCTTCCTGTTCCCGTTAAAACTGCAACGACTATAACACCACTACTGTGGGTGTTATGGTCGTTGCAGATTCAACAGGAACAGGAAGGGACAGCTATAACACCACTACTGTGGGAAATTTTTAGAATATGTTTATAGTACATACAAATGATTAAAAACTAATCTGTGGTCCATATATGAGGATCAGTATACTTAGACAATAGTCATAATATATTAAACCTATGCTAAAACCTGGACTCATAATTGTTGTTGTATCTGAGATATTTTACAATTTGTTAGGAAAATTAAATAAAACTTTGAATTATATATTAAAAAAATATTAAAATAAGGTAGCTATAGGAAAAACCAGAAAATTGGAAAAAGAGATTCTAAAAATAAAGCAAATACTTTCTTTGACTTATGGAAGATAGAAAGTCCCTTGCCCTTATAAAAATAATGGTATGGTGGCCTGATTTGCAAGCATTGTAAGTTCTGGCCCGAATCGGGAAATTACTTTATATTTAAAGTGTGTATCATCCAGACAGTCGGACGAAGAATATGGAATAACGTGTAAAAAAGCAGCCAAGCCGAACAATTATTATTTCCAACCGAACTTTGAATACCGTTCACCATTTGGAACAAATATGAAAATTTTCAATAAAAATTAAATTAATAGCCGTTATATGGGGGCCTATACGAAGACGTGGACCTACATAGGCATTGTGGATAATTTACCTAAAGTCGTCAAAATACCGAATATAGGGAGCTACTGATATATGGGGGCTATACGAAGATCTGAACATGTACAGACAATTTTCTGTCACAGGCTGTAGTTCGCATTACAAACTCGACGTAATTTGAAACTACTCCGGTGAATAATGACGCTAAAATCATCAAAATACCGAATATACGGAGGTACCGTTATATGGAGGCTATACTTTATTGGGTTTCAAATTATTATTGCGATGAGTTACAAACGGAATGACGAACTTAATATACTCTGAGGTGGAGAGTATAAAAATCGTTGCAAAATGCTACTAAAAATTTTAAAACTTCCGAGTATTAGTTTTTACAGTTATATGGGAACTGCACGAAGCCTGGACGAATTTAGTTTTGGGACTAACCAAAACTTGGACTTGTATGGACAGTTTAATGCAAGGATGTTTCCCATATTCTGAAACTAAACTGACTATTTACAGGAAATTCGGTTTAAATTGTGACCAAAACAACCATATCTTATATTAAATCTGACGGTATAATTATATGGAGGCTATACCAAAACGTGGATCTATATGGGCCATTTTCAATACAATAAGTTCTACGGAGATATAATGATATTAATCTCCATAATTTCGTTATGAAGTTAGACTGATTTCCTTCTTAAATTGTCATAGAATCTTATACTGATCAGGAATATATATAATCAGTGTGGTGTAAAGTGTATATCTCGGTGTGTTACAAACGGAATAGCAAACAAAACATACCCTACATACTATGTTGGAAAAATGTCATTGAATGATTTATGTTAAAGGAAAGAACGCCACATTAAACATCGCTAAATCGTATTTTTCATCGTATAGCCTCTACATACATTCAGGGTATGAAGCTTGGAGGGGAAATATCAGAGGAATATCATCGATTTATTCCATTTTTGCACAAGATTTTATTTAGACATTAATATTGTGAAACAAGCGTTTTGGACTAACTTAAAGAACCTATTTGTTGTATACAAGATTATGGAAAAGTACCAAGATATGGTAAAAATATATCATTTTCGGAAAGTATGACAATCAGTGACTCATTTTCATCGTTATTATTGTTCTAAACGTTGATCCTTTTACGGGGAAAGAATCAGAAGTAGTAGCGAATAAAAAAATATGACTTAAGCCTTCAGAATGATTCGTGGTAGAATATTTTTCCAATGCCACATTATGTGTTTATTGGTGAAGAGCTCTAAATATTATACTTCTTAATATATTACTTCTTAATATTCACTTATTTGGCGTCTTTATACATACTTGTATAAATCTTTGACTTTTATATTTAATTCATATACATATGTTTTTCATGTATAAGCATGTGTACATATTAACCAAAGTAATCTAATTTCATGGGAATGTTCATTTGATAGCTCCAAAAAAAAAACAGAATAGATACACATATGTATGTGATATTATCCAATTAGACAAGTCATGAAGTTATTATCCCATATTTCAATTAATTAATATTCTTGCGATGCTGAATAAAGCGTAACAATGAATCGATGCATAGCAAATAATTAATATAAATTGTAATAAATTCAATTATTCGCTATATGACAAAATCTGTTGACATATAACAATATATAGAAAGGGAATTAAAATCAATGAATCGATAAGTGAAAGTTGAGAAGTGATAAACAAAAAATAAATTATAATCTAATTTATCCAGTCTCTCTTTTTAGTTATGTCAATTAGAGATTTTAAATAGAAGTTGCAATGTCTTTAGAAATATGACTTTAAAATAAATTTGATCAAACGAAATTAAAACAAATACAAGAACAATAATCCCTTTGACAGCAGAAGGACCTTAAAAATCAACTTTTTTTCGAATTTGGAGATATCAGTTATGATATATGGATCTCTAGTCTGAATTCGGGTAAATATGCCGAAATACATCCTATTTGAACACATAATACACATATGGAGCACAATAATAATATATCGGACGAAGATCTAGATGTGAGTTACATCTAAATTTTGACCGGATCTCACCAATTTCAGTAGGGATTTGACTTAAAATTTGTAAAGGGTTCTACCTCCGATGTACGTATAGGTCCAAATTTTCCTATAGCGCCCATGTAACAGTATTTACAGATTTCCGGTATTTTGACGACTTAGTACACATGTTCTATCGGATTTATTTAAATTTTTCTATTTGTAAAAGAGTGTCACCTTGTCCTATTATTCCACGATTTCCATATAACTAATATTCGGTTCTAATTTACTACTTAGGACTCGCAATAGACTCGCAAGTAGTAGATAATTGTCTGTATAGGTTAAAGTTTTTAGTATTTCGCCCATATAAAGGTCACATCCACTTTTTGGTATTTTTAGTTTAAAGTGGTGCACGTTCGAATATTAAACTATTTTTTATAAATGTGGTGTGTGGTGGAGGGTATTGAAAGTTTGTTTCGGCCTAACTTAAGATTGGTTTACTTGTTCTTTACTCAAAATATCATCGATATAGGCCCATGCAATTTTGTATGAGGATCAACTGTTTGGTTATTTTTCCAATTCGAAATAAAAAATTATCAAAGTACCGAAAAGTCACAAATTAATATGCAATCAATAAGAGTTATAGCCCTAATTATTTTAAGTATGTTTGTCAAACAGAGTAAATCAAATTTATTTATTATTATTTTTTTAAATTATACAAAAATCTGCCTATTATACTAAAATGAAATTAAAATCTTTTAAAGGAAACGGATAGAACATGCGTAGAGGACTCGGAGCCCTCTTTGAGGTGATGAGATTTTTTTGCATTATACATGAAAATAATTTTTTGACAATTGGCCTAGCCCATTATGCGACATAGGAAACCCTCAGGCCATCTATGCCACACAGGATACCTTCAGGTCTTCTATAAGACATAGGAGAGCTTCACGTCTTATATGAGACATGTCAGGATACCTCCATGTCTTCTTTGAGACATATTAGGAGACCTTCAGGTCTTCTTTAAGTCATATGAGTCATGTCTTCTATGAGAAATGTGATGAGACCTTCAGATCCTCTATGAGACATAGGACATATTAAGATATTCTATGAGACCTTCAGATTTTTTATTCGAAATAGGAGACTTTCAGGTCTTTTATGCGACCGAGGAGACCCTCAGATCTATGGCACATATATGTCATATATGTGACATAGAAAGCCTTCATATCTTCTTTAAGACGAAAGACCTACGGGTTTTCTAAGAGATATGGGATCTTCGGATATTCTAGGGAAAAACACTTTTAAGTATTCGATGAGATAGAAGACATTCGGCTATTCTAAGAGATACAAGAATTTCGGGTCTTCTATGAAATATAAGAACATCGGTTCTTCTTCGAATTTGGATTTAAGTAGAAATGTTTATAAGTCTATGATATGGAATACCTTGGGTTATTTGTGGTATAAGGAAGACCTCATAATCTCTTATTTATAATTATACCCTACACCACATAGTGTATTTGTGCATTTGTTTGTAACATGGAGAAGGAAACGAGATAGACCCATAGTTCCTTTTGGTGATCAGCATAGAATCACATTTTGAGTCGATTTATGCATGTCCGTCCGTTCGTCCATCTGTACCTCTGTCCATAAATTTTTTGTAAACAAAATGCAGGTCGCATTTATTATTCGATTGAGAAATTTCCTAAATTTGTTTGGCTCAAGGACGACCCTTATTGAAATTGGTGAAAATCGGTCCAAATTTAGATTTAGCTCCCATATATATCTTCATCCGATTTTAGGTTTCTTGTGCACCAAATGGCTAATATCAGTCCAAATGGTGTGAATTTTGCTACATCCGACCGAATCCAGCCTACAAGCATGTGCTTCAAGTTGGGTGAAAATCGGTTCAGATATAGCTATAGCTCCCATATATATGCTTCATACGATTTTAGGTTTCTTGTGCATCAAATGGCTAATTTCAGTCCAAATGGTGTGAATTTTGGCACTTCCATTGAGTATAGAAATTGAGTATAGAAATAAATACTTTAAATTTGATAAAAATCGGTTCAGATATAGCTATAGCTCCCATATATATGTTTCATCCGAATTGGTGTTCAAGTCCCTCACATTCGTAATATGTACTCCACAAGACTTATATTGAGCACCAGATATCAGATACAGCCTAGCAATTCATTATTCAAATTTTATCAAGATCGGTTGAGATTTGGATATAGTTCCCATATATATCTTCATCCGATTTTAGGTTTCTTGTGCACCAAATGGTTAATATCAGTCCAAATGGTGTGAATTTTGGCACTTCAAACCGAATTTAGTATAGAAATAAATACTTTAAATTTGGTGCAAATCTGCTCAGATATAGGTACAGCTCCCATATATATGATTCATCCGATTTGGTGTTTAAGTCCCTCAAATTCGTAAAATGCACGAAACAAGAATAATATTTGGTACCAGATATCAGATGTAGCCAAGAAATATCTGTTTTCAGTTTTATGAAGATTAGCTCAGATTTGGATATAGCCCCCATATATATCATTACCCGATATCAGGTTTATGCATTTATGTGCACCAAATAGCTAATATTATCCCAAATGGAGTGAACTTTCGCTAATCAACCGAGTTTAGCATAGAAGCAAGAATTTCAAATTTGCTGCCATATATATTTTTCATCCAATTTGGTTTTTAAATCTCCAACTTGCGGAGTATGCACTCTACCATAATGATATTTTGTACCAGATATGTCACATATCTCGGAAATTGCAATATAAACCTTTCTTTTACGAGAGCTCTACTAAATATGCATAGTGGTGTAGGGTATCATATAGTCAATAATTCATAAAAATAACTTAATTGATAAAAAGATTCAGTTGAACATGGGACTGGCCAGGTTAATTTTGATATTTATAAAATAATTCAAATCAATTCAATAAGAGAATGCACATTTCTATTTTTTTGTTTCAAATTTCTATCCCAAGTAGCCAACTTATACAATTTTCTCCTAATTTAGCAAATGTACCCAAATATGAAATAACCTTTGTAATCGAAAATAGCACATTTAAGGTTAAAAATATATTCTTTCCAACTCACCTGTACATACGATATAGCATGTATATATTGGAAGGATTACCACTTATCACCAAATCTTGGTCAATTCAAAAACATTTCAAAACAGTTCACATATCAGTAAAATAAATATGTTCGTGTGAATGTCCAGTGATGAGAGTTTTCTTAGTAATTATAACATAGATATTCCTATATAAAAAATATGTATGTATAGTTATCAATTTTACAAAAAAGAAAATTCTGATAAAATTGTTAGTTTTTTAAAAACATAATTCAATTCTAATTTCTATCAACACCAAAATGCTGCTATGCCAAATACCAATTTTATCTCCATACCAAAGCTAGCTATGCCAGTTAGGCCACTTGTTTTTCTTACCAATCTCTTCCAAAATCTTTCATAAGCACAACGCAACAAGCTTAAGCAATATTCATTACATTCCCTGACAATATCTTATTAATTAGTTTAAGATTCGAAAAATATATATTTGGCCCTTTTTAAACAATAAATGTGGCTTAGTTCTTTTTCTGTCTTTAGTTACACTCAACGAAACAAGTACGTGTCCTTTGGTTTTTCATTTGCCTCAAATTCATTCTCACAAAAATTACAATGTGGTCAAATTGTGATCAATTATCGCCTGTATCCGGTGCATACAGTCCTTTTGGCGGGCCGAGGTATTATCAATCAATTGTTCTATAAAATGACTCAACTCGTTGGTGGCATTGAACGGTACATCTTGGGTACATGATATGTAGCGATTGAATATATCCGTGTTCAGGGATCTTGAGCGATAGGCTTCATCGCCTTGTTGGTATTTACTAAGATTTTGAGCGGAGGCTAAGAGTTTCGTTTTTATTTTCTGATAGGCATGTAATTCCTGTAAATTCATGTAATCAGTGCTGGAAATGTCGATGGTGTGTCCGCCGGTGGCATCTTTACTGGGATCTGTGGAGGTGTTGGGCGGTTTCTTGCTAAGCAGCATTCGTATGTGGTTTTTGCGTTCCGACACAAAGTTGCCCAATAAGTAGCCTAACAATGACAAGAGAAAAAGAAAATAGAAAGATAAACACAATTACTAAATTTCCTCCCCCATTTCTTATCCCCCCTCCCTCTCTCGCAACCACTTCTTACCTGATATTAGCGTAAAAAATGCTATTGTCAATACCAAACTAATGCAGGTCCTTTTTGTAACATATTCGCGATACTCGGAGGAAGTATTGGCACGCACTGCAGTTTCATAGCTTAGCACTTGATGCATTTTATTATTGTTGTTGTAGTTGTTATTGTTTGTCTTGTTGTTGTTGCTGTTGTTAGCAAGTAAAAGTTTTGTGTGGGTGTTTTTTTTTCTGTCTTTTCAAGTGAATTATGATGTGGAAGTTTCCATTTTCAAGCTGTTTTCTTTATTCCTTGGCATTAACGTTGTTACGAACATTTTACAAAGTTTGTTTTATTTTTTCAACAACTACTTTGAGTTACTTGACATTGCAATAAACTGGAAATACACAAGAAGAAGAGGCAGAAAATGATCATGTTATTAATTTAGTTAAAGTTATGTAAATATTTTTTTATAAATGTTAGGAGATGACTCATATATTGCCTACAGTCAAGTTATAATATATCTGGTATTTGTAACACGACTGAACGACAAATCTGAATTTAATAGACCTCGAAAATAGCTGAAATCAGGGAATACCAAAGATTAGGGTCTATATTGATTATTTTTTTCGCAAGAATGGTTTCTTCTTACTACTCAAATTACAAAAATTTAACGAAAGTAGTACAAACAAGTAAAAAAACTGTAAGTTCGACCGGGCCGGTCTTTGAATACCCTCCACAATTTGGAACAGATTTGGCAATTTTCAAAAAATCCGTTAAAAATTCTATTAAAATCTTAAAAATACCGAATGTAGCCCTTATATTAGGGTATATACGACGACGTGGACCTGCATAGGCAACATTTGTCATAAGCCATTACAATATTCAAAAGCGAAACTTAAAAAAATCGGTGACTAATGTAGCTAAAATCATCAAAATATCGAATATAGGGAGGTACCGTTATATGGGGGCGTAGACCTGTACAGACCTGTAGACGTAGACCTGTACAGACAATTTTCTGTTTTAGGTTGAACTATCCACTACGAACTTCAAATACCGAATTTGAAACAATTCCGGTGAATAATGTCGCTAAAATCATCAAAATACCGAACATCGGAAGGTTCCGTTATATGGGAGCTATACAAAAACGTGGACCTACAAGATCCATTTTCAATAGCAAAAGCCATGCAGACATTGTACACATTTGAGTAAAATTTTATCAACCTATTTCATTTCGATCGGAAGCTAGGGAGATTTCCACACACAGACAGACCGACATCGCTAAATCGACATAAAATTTGATGCTGATCAAGAATAAATATACTTTGATGTGTTACAAACGGTGTAGGGAATAAAAAGATAAACGGCATATGTCGGTTTTGCCGACAGATATTTTGAATTGTGTTATGATTATTCAAATTGTTGACACTTTATGGGGGTGGCTCCAGAGAAATCGACCAATGTTGTCTTTTTCGTATCTGACCTAAGACTGATTATCAATTTTTAAAAGAAACGCTGACTTGCTTCGCCCCCTCCCCTTTGTGGGGGAGGTACCAAAAGGGGTCGGCCGATATCTATTATCTTCACACCAAAATTTGTGTTGTTAGAAATATTGGGATTGGGAAATATTAGAATCGCCCGCTTTTTATGAGAGATATTATTGTTTAAAAATTAAACCTGTTGTTGGGGAAGTACTAGAATGAGTGGTCTGATACATTCCACTTTCACGCCTTATTATGTGTGCCAAGTTGGAAAATATTCGGAGGCTCATTTCGTGTTTTATGAGGCTAATAGTTTTTCTTGGTGTGACATCTTTGTGGGCGAGATAACCGAAGAAGTAGACCGATATGTAACGCCTTCACACTAGGTCTTGTGTCAATAAAAATATGGGAAATTTTAAGATAACCTAATGCTTATTTCATATTTTGTAAGAGTTATAGTTATTCAACATTTTGACCCATTTCACACCTGACATAGATTTCTGAGCAGTTGTAATTATAGAATCTACGATTTTTATCAATTGAAAAGTTTTTTAATATGTAAAAAAACATTTTTTTCTATTATTTAGGTGGTAGCGGGTACTTGATATTTTATGCAGAAAAATCCAAAAAATAATTTTTCTTTATTTTTTCCAATATTTCTTTAATCCGCCTGACAACGACGAATAAGAAATTGTAATCATGATTGACGTCTAGACAAGGGTGCTGTTATCGTAGTGAAATCAATACCCATCATTGGGTATTACGTGTATCAGTTACGAAGAATTTATAATTGTTTCAAAATTATACACATGTTGGGTAATACTGCAATAAGAAGATTTTTTAAAAGTGGATATTGCACACTTTGTATACATTTCTAAAAAATGTATGTCATAATAAGATTGTAAATGTGTTGTTTATAAATATTGTTTATTATACTGTACGAGAGAAGGAAAGCTTCAGTAGATTATGAAAATCTCAGTAGATTACGAAAGTAAGCTTAAAAATAAGCTATGCCTTGGCGAGCGAAACAGGTCTATTTAAAATTGTTATATCTAATTATTTCTGTCAACCAGCCATCTGATGTAAATATGGAATTTTTTACCTCATAAAACTATTCAAAAACAAGTAAGCAAAGGCTATAGTCGTGCGGTGACGACTATGTGATACCCTACATCATTACAAAATGTTAGAAGCCCCCTTTTGTCCAAATCCATTTTGGAAGATTTCGCTTTTTAAATTATGTCACGGAGCACTGCCCAGATATTACCCTCAGCATTTTGACCAGGGACATTTGCCCAATTTTTACGCACTACATTGTGCTGTTAGTTGTTGTGGTCCATTTTACAACTAAATATAATCCAATGGTCATCCAAAATGCTAGAATTCTTCCCTGTCCTTGGCTCTCTTCTCAGGCGTGTCGATTGGCTTCAATTGTATGATCAGGACATTTTTTTCTGTTTTTGGTTCATTTGAACCCCTAAATATTTTGCTCATCCCTTCATCTCCAAAAGCAAGAGGCTCCTCTGTATCTCTAAATTTAGACTCATCTATATTATTTGCTTGTCTACGATATTTGGCTATATTCGTCATCGAAATCAGCATAAAAAAGCCAGATGTTCGCCTTTTGTGTATTTCGGATATCGCCTGTAAGTAATGCTGGTATTTTCTCACACAAAATTAGTGGTCCATTCTATCCGCTGTCCTAAACTCTAACTTCATTCTTGTTCTTTGGTTTCTATTTGTGACCTCTATAACGGCTGCAAAATCAGGAAAATTTTTAGTTGTTGGTTCATTTCAATCCCTAAATATATTGCGGACATCTTTGAAAACAATAGGCCTAGCCCTTCTGAGCCCAACCCTACCCTTGTGGAAATTTTCGTGAAGAAGATAATCGCAAACTGTATATAATAACCCCAACTTGTGTTGTAAAGTGAAAAAATATTACAATATGTAATATTATAAGTCAAATAGAAAAAATCGCATGCGATAAAAAATATGAAAAAATAAAAAAATGTCACAAAATACTATAAAATCTATTTTAACATCATTATTGGCATATTTTTCTTCGTTTTTTTTTTAGATTTTATACTTTTATGCCAAGAGGGCATTCTGAATTGACAAAATTTTTCAAAATCGATCTAGCAATTCTTGAGACATAAGTATTCTAGCTTCCTTTGTATATACATATTGTATATATTTTACTATATATATCCGATATATTTTCTATCGGCATCTACGTAACGGTCAGAACTGAACCGTTCGTGTACCTGTGATTTCGCCCGTATTAAAAATATTCGCGGTTTAATGGCAAATTTGCCCAGCCCTAAGCTCTAGCCCCATGCATATTTCCATAATAGAGACCTGTAGAGCAACTGCAAAATCAGGAAAATTTTCAGTTTTTTGTCCATTTTAACCCCTAAATATTATGCGATCATCTCCAAAAGCAATTTTATTCTATTCTTATCCTAGCCCCACCTTCAGTCCAAATTTCGTGAAGATCGGGCCAAAATTGCGACCTGTAGAGTGATTACATATTAACATAGACAGATGGACATATATAATGCCAGAACGACTCAGCTCGTCGTGATAGGAAGTTCCATGTATACTTTCTATGTGGGAAACGAATATTTCGAGGTGTTACATAATTTTTGGCCCAATCAAACTTATAATACCCCCAATACATAGTGTTGTTGGGTATAAAAAAATGGTTATAGATATCTGATTTTTCATCAAATTTTGCACATCCTAATTTTTATTTGTCCAATATATATTGTATATATTCCAACAGTTTTCAAAAATTATCACATATCGATATTGCACAAATCGGGGACGTTGTAATATATATACAAATTATCACATAATAAGTTGTTAGCCCAATAAAATATAGTTTTTTTCCTAAAAAATCATTCCAAACGTATAAATTCCAATGAAACTGCATTGTAGACATCCGTTTGCCCCAAATATTTTCCCAACAATAATTGCTTTTTGGTAACAGCAACTAATTTTTAAACAACTGAGTGGCATCATTTCATGGAAAATAAATTTGTTAAGTAAGCAAATTAATTTTAGAATTGAATTCTCACTTAAAAATTGTAACATAGTTTTAAGTCACTCTTTAATCAGTAGCCAAACAAAAAAGTCAATTCAAATAAAATAATCGTATTTTATTTTGGTAAAAAGGCAGCAGTGAAACTTTTGATAAGTTCCACAAAATCAAGTTCAATTTTGGCAATTGAAAGTTACAAGATTAAAAGGAGTCCGCGGTCCTTTTCGATAAAGTATCGCGTAAGGATCAAGTTGACCTTAACGCACTAAAGTCTAACTTACATATACACATGTATGGTATTTTGCGGTGTGAAAAATTCTTCTATGAATGAATGAATGTGCTTTATAAATAGATCTTGGGTTCATAACAATTTTCATCAAGATATTGAAATATACCTCTGCACAGCTTTCAAAAGTTCACATTTACCATAAAACCAACCATCAACTATTAGAAATTTAATCGTATAAACTGTATTTATACCCTACAACACTTTGTGTTGGGGGTATTATAAGTTTGATTGGGCCAAAATTTATGTAACACCACGAAATATTGATTTCCCACATAGGAAAGTATATATGGATCTTCTATCTCGCCGAGCTGAGTCGATCTAGCTATGTTTGTCCGTCCGTCTGTCCGTCTGTCCATGTTAATTTGTAATCACTCTACAGGTCGCAATTATGGAGGTGGGGTTAATGTCAGAATAGAACCCTATTTCTTTTGGAGGTGATCGCATAATATTTAGGGGTTGAAATGGACCAAAAACTGAAAAATTTATTGATTTCGCAGTTGCTCTACAGGTCGCAATTATGGACCAATCGACGCGGAAATTAGCACGGGCTAGAGCTTAGGGCTGGGCAGAAGCCTTCCAAT